TCTCTTTGATGATAAGTATATTTCTTGGATGTTTCTAATCTAATCTGATAGTCTGTGTCTTTCTTTTGGAAAACTAAGACAATTTATATTGAGATTTATCAATAACCAGTATTTGTTAATTCCGATTACTGTGTGTTGTGGTGTGGGGACTCCTTCTGTCCCCACCTAATTTTAAAGTAATTGGATGAGACTATTTCTCCTTTGTGTTTTATTGGGTATTTTTAACCACTTCACATTGAAATTTTTATTCTAGGGCCTTCTGTAAAACTGTATTTGTAGATAGACATTGCTTCAATTTGTTTTATTGTTCAGTGTTTTTTTTTTTTCAAATTTTGTGATTGAAAGTTTTGTTGGTTATAATAGTCTGGATTGGCATCTCTAGTTTCCTACAGTTCATAGAAAATCTTTCTAGCTTCTTTTGGATTTTAAAGTTTCCATTGTGATGTCAATGGTATGCTAATGAATTTGGTTTTACACAATATATTTTTACATTGCAGCTTTCAATGTTCTTTCTTTGATCTATAAATTCAGTGTTTTGATTATTATGTTTCCTGGAAAAGTTCTTTCCTGATCCAGTCTGAGTTATGTCTGTATACTTCTTGTACCTTGGTAGGAACATCCTTCTTTAAATTAGGAAATATTTCCCCTGTGATATTGTTAAAATATTTTTCTATGCCTTTATTTCTATTTTTTATATATTTGGTCTTTTCATATTGTTCAATATTTCCTGGATGTTTTGTGGCTAGTGTTTTATACTGAGACTTCTGTATCTTCTGTCTTATCTTTATTTTATTTTTTTATTGAAAGAAAAAAATTTCCTCCTCCTCCCAGCCTCCCATTTCCCTCCCCCTCCTCCCATTTTTTCTCCCCCTCCCCCCACTCCTCTCCTCCTCCCTCTCCAGTCTGAAGAGCAGTCAGGGTTCCCTGCCCTGTGGAAAGTCCAAAGTCCTCCTCCCTCCATCCTGGTCTAGGAAGGTGAACATCCAAACTGGCTAGGCTCCCACAAAGCCAGAACATGAAGTAGGATCAAAACCCAGTGCCATTGTCTTTGGCTTCTCAGCAGCCCTCATTTTCCGCCATATTCAGAGTGTCCGGTTTTATCCATTGCTTTTTCAGTCACAGTCCAGCTGGCCTTGGTGAGCTCCCAATAGATCAGCCCCACTGTCTCCGTGGGTG